GTGGAACGGAAGTCCGTCCGGTAAAAGTCGTCGATCCAAGTCGGTACCGGAATGTCTTCGACCGCGTGTACCTGGCCACCGCTTCGGAAAGACCAAAGTAAATGAAAGGAGTCGAACACCAACCGAACCAAGGCACCGTGAACATATGGAACTGGCCGTTCCATTCGAATCCGGAGAATAGCCAAAAATCAGGCTGCAGCGAGACATGGTGGTAGCCGGATTTGTGAGCGATGGTTACTTGATGGACCCCGCTCCAGGCACACTGAGCGACTTTCCCTATTTCGTCCCTAGTGGGAAAGGGATGCAAGGACATGACTTAGAGTGATCATCCGTCCCAGATTAGCCTTAGTTTCTTGGGCTCCACCCCTAGGGGCAACACCGTGTGGGGTTTGTTGTGAACGTCCGTATCCGCTACCTCGGCCCACCTAGCAACTCATGCATTTTTCACGAACGTTTTTACCTCTGTCGTGACCCATGAGTGGTACTCATCCGGAACATTGTTAGGCAAGTGCACCGACGTAATGTCGGAACCGTTGTACTGGTGGCCTTAAAACGCGCCCTGGGCGTCCCTGTCGATGAAATCGTACACACTGACACCCTTCACCCATCCCAGAAGTGTATCCCGTGCTTCTGCATGTGCAGCTTACGAAATTACGTCCGGCCAACATGGGATGGCCATTTGCAAATGTGCTGGAACAAAGTCGTCTGTTACCCACATTCGAGCTTGGTGTGGCGCAAGTTTGTTGAGCAGAAGTGATGCCGTGTCTGAGAGGTCGACGGAGAAACTGCGCGCCTGTGCGTCGCTTATGATGTCAACCCCCAATAGTTGTGAGCGAACAGCAATGATGCGTCGCGCCCGTGCGGCTAAAAAACGATTTGCCCCAGGTCCAACCTGAATGTAAGTTAAAGGGTCGTAGAAAAAGGCATGCGTTGGACTGGCCGTACAAGCATCGATCGACGAGCAGGTAGGGCGTAGAGGATGTTGTATCTACTCCCGCACAAGGTTCTACATCTAGGTATTATTTCATCAATAATCTACCAATGGGCGTGTAAGTGTCCCAACCCCGTAATTTCGAATAACGTGCTGTGGCGACCGACGAAAACCTAAGCGAAACCATCCCGCGCGCTCACCGTCGGCCAAAGTCTCAGCCAAGAAAACGGCAAGGTGCAGAGGCACCAGGAGATTGCATGGATAGTGGTGTACGGCAATTTTATGTATGGTATTTCACATGGGTGGGAAGAAGCTAGTGAAACGTCACCACAAAGAAAATGCGTCGGACAACAGTGTCTGGGGTTCCGGGTAAATGATCCCCTTCCTTCTGCTCCCCTCGCCCCGTGCAATGTGTGTGGGTTAGGGCGAGGGTGTCACCTTGAGCGTGTGTGGCGGCTAGCGAGCACGAAGTCCCGCATTGCCGTGACAGACCGAAACTCGGGGAAATAGCATCCTATCAGAACGAAAACCGTAGCATAAATGGCGAACGACGGCGGACACTCTTGCGCGAGAATCCGCGAGCGCCCAAGAGCATGAGCGGGCACAGGGCAACATACCGAAGCATATACAAAGGATCGCTGCGGTAAATATTGCTGTGACCCGAAATTGATCTCATCATAGACAGAGAAACATGGACATTCTTGAGGCAGCCGGTGAGAAGGCGCACGCCTACTAACCCTGAGCAGCTCCCTACAAATCCTGAGCGATATCGACAAACTAACTACCGAAATGCATCCATCATCCCTGGCAGCTCTCGCGAACATACCCAAACTCGTGGCATTGGTTGCACTGCACCTGAGCAACATCTCACTCACCCTGAGCATCATCCGACAAACGTGCAATCGAAACGAATCTATCTCCCCCGGCAGTTCTTGCGAATGTGCCCGAATTTGTGGCATTGGTTACACTGCACCAGGGGGCACACCCTGTATGAGCGCATGATATCCTGTCCTTGCTTGCCGGCTGCCCTGCACTTGCCACACATGGGCGGCCTACGGTGGCCGCCGCCTCCCCGACCTCCGCCTCCCGCGCGGTTACGCGGAGGCCCATACTGGCAGGATATGCCCGGGCCGGCCCATGCCGGTTCTGCGGGCCACATGCGCGGCGGCGGACCACCGTAGCGGGTCTCCCATGTTCTCTATAGTTTCTGAAAATAACCCATGGGTTCCCAAAATGCCCATGACGGGCAGTCCATGGGCATGATGGTCTGCCCGCCATGAGTAATCCCTGGTGGGCAGCCCATGGACAGCCCACCATGAGCAACTCATCGTGGGCAGCTCATGGGCAGCCCACCATGCGCGGTTTATCACCAGCCTGAAGTGGGCAGCTCATGGGCAGCCCGCAATGGGCAGCCAACGGTGGATATATTATTCACAGAGTCCATGGGTAGCCTTTGGTGGGCAGCCCATCGCGGAGAGCCCATGGCCGCCGCACATTATGGGCTACCCACAGAGGCAGTTTCCCAAGGGCAGGCCACCAAATGCAGCCCACCCATGATGAGCATGTTGGGTACGGCCATTTGGTCGCCCATGGGCTGCCCGTAGTGAGCGTAATTGGGGCAAAATGTCCGCAGCCCATCGTTGGGAGCCCATCATGGTGAGCATTCTGGGGATATGCTCATGGGCGTAGCCGTGGACAATCCCTCTTCGGCGAAAATTGCTGCCGACTGTAGGCGCACGATGAGCGGCCCATTTATTCTGTGGGATGCCCATACATCATACATAGTGATAGCCGATGCATGTATGCCAATCTTTTTACATTGCAGGGGACCGAGTACGACCCGGCGGGACCACCCGTTATGGGGGGAGCGGGAAGTTTGAGACAGGACTCAAATGTTTGAGAAGAGAGGACGCTGACCCACACACCGCAGAAGGGGGATCGCCCTTCAACAAACACAGACAGAGTTTGGCGTAGCATACCAGCTCGTCCCCGTCCAAGTCGAACTAATCCACCCAACGAAAATAATGTTGTCCTCCTATATCGTTGATGTTTGAGGTGTCAGCACGTGGATTATGTTGTCCCGCTCGCGGGCTCTTGTCGAGGGCGTTTCCGCACAAAGGAGTGACTCAAGTTCTTGATTTTTTCGAGAGTGAGAAATGGGCAGGGAAACAGGGCCTGCAGTGCGTCAAGTCCATCACACCCATCAAGTTTCTACTGCGTACCCCCCCAAACCCTCCGAGGTTGGCATCTTACCGAGTACAGACACAAACAGCCTCCCTACTCAGTACGAGATATGATCTACGAGATCCTCCACTAACAGTCTTATATACAGATGGCGCCCGCACTTCATAACCTCTACTTTCGGCAGATGTTGGGGTTCTTATTTTGCTGATCATCCTCTTGTGGGCTACAAATGGCCGCTATATAAGTTTTAGTGTGGGTTTTTTAACCGAGCTCATAAATAGTGCTCAAGTTCTTGGCTTCTGATTTTTTGCGAGTCTCACTCCCTTAACTGCTACGTTCTTAAGTTCGGGCGCTATCTGTAACTAGGGAACTTCACTAAGAGTCTTAACAATTATCCCTCTCGAGAGAATGTCGTCACCATTTTATTCGCATGCAGTCAAAAACAAAGAATCATTCGTACAAAAATACTCAGCAAAGATCAACCTCAAACATCAGAGCCACGCCATCAGGACTCTGAACGGACAACAATAGCAAAACGTGTCAACAAATACATACTTCGAACAAAATCCTCGCACAAACCTGTGTTTCAATTTTTCAAATAAGCTTCGGAAGCACATAGGCGTCAACTTTGTCTTGCCAAAATATGTCAAATTCTTCCTCCAATCAGTGCATCCTTCACAACAGCCATCAAAACCAAATACATATAGTAAAACTAGAAAAACATGCGTAAAATACCCGGCGCTAGACGCCAGAGAAAACCTTCACCACTAATGCAATTTCTCAAGACGTGGTTTCTTAACAGTCACCCTTCTGTAGGGTCTCCATAAAATATAGAAGCTTTGCAGCCGCCCTGCTACAACATTTCCAGAACATAAAAGCTTACACAGCCCAGTACACTCCGTCTGAAGCATAGGAGACGACGAAGAATCAATGTACAAGAATGCAACAATGAACCGAACTCGATCGTTATCATGCAAGAAGATCTATCTACTGCAAAAATAATCGCGATTTTCAGAGCAGTGCCCATAATACAAAAGACAATATGAAGAGAAGTCAAACAAAGCGGCAAACTAAATACCGCCAAACATGCAAATAATCAACGACACAAACAGCCCAAGAATGCCTCGAAGGTTCATGACATGCGGTGCACTTGATTATTTAGAGAGTGAGACATAGGTAGGCAAGCAGGGGCTACAGCAGTGCGTTAAGGCCATCATGGGTGGCCACTGGTACACGTTGTAAGGATTTGCGGTGCGTCGGCCACCTGTCACGAGTCGCTAGCACGCAGGGTAGAGGTCTCCCGTGTGTAAGCAGTAAGTACGTACAGCTCCCGTTCACGGCACGGTTTCTAGCGCGAGAAAGGGAATTATGGCTCCTGAAAGGTATTCGCTCATGCAACGATGCACACACACTGACCCCTCTTTGTGCAATCGAACGACTGTACCGAGTGCGATGAGTAGTGAAGATACTCGTACCAGCTGTAGTAGCCGATGTAGCGTCGGAGCAAAGGCTTCCTTGTGGATGTTATGGTCTTATTTTTTTAATTCAAGCTCAGGATTGTAGCTTGGTTGTGAGCAGAGGAGGGCGAGTCCGGACAGCTCTTGCAGAGGCTCCGCATAATGCGGCCAACTACCTCTGTGCGGGTGTACTTGCGGGACAATGAATGTCTCGAACGGTAACATCCCCCCTAGCATATTATCAACTCATAATATACTAACGCCTCATCCTGTGCTTGTAACCAATGCAATGGCAGAACCGCAGGATTCTCCATCAACCGATATTCTTCGAAAGGAACTATTCACCCGATACTTCACGCCGCCATCTCGTCTCTCTCTTTTCTCTGAGGGACAAACTTTCGACAAACCCTCTCGTGAAATTCGTTGGCATGGAGAGCGATCTCCATGCCAGTGGAATAGACCGACATACCGCCACTGGCTACAAGCGTTATCACAATCATAACAGCGATTGCGACCCAGTCCTCCAGGACCTACCAGTCCACGCATGCCCGCTTGCATACAATGAACACATCAATCAACCATCGACTCGGTACCGCCTACCGAGTAGGAACAAATACATACACTCCGCAAGTACCCCCATTCACCACGACTGAGCCTCAAGAAACCTCCTCCTCCGACAGCGCCGCATTTTCCAAGGCCCCACAGTTTCCACGATCCCAATAAACCCACAAGGCAATTGCTTCCCCCCAACTTGACATGGCGACAAGTAATAAACCACACCATTCACGGGTAAATGTTCCCCCACCCCAACATGCACGAATCAGCAGCCACTGGTGCGGTGACGACGATCTTCCGTGAAGAAAGCGTTCCAGCTCCTGACGCGTCAACTCCTCCCAGTTTGTTACTGTAACGCACACGCCAGTAGCGGTTTGGGTAACCAAACACTTGTCCTTGGACCTTTTGCCCTCCGCCAAAGTCTTTCTGGAAAGCGAAACCTATTGGGTAGATTCTCAGGGCTTCACGGGCGGACAACGGTGCACGCGGTAGGGAGCGTGGGGTAAGTTGAGACGCCAATTCAGGATAGTACAGATGCCATAGTGCAATGAAGCCGTCCAACTGCAAGCGTGTGAACGTACGGAGAAGCTCAGGTTCTGAAAGCCACACGGACTCTACACCAGTCTGTGACATGGCTTTGTACTCCCACACCAAGGCAACGGTAGGTGAATGCACACGACGGCAGTCAGAGAGGGAGACGAACTTCCCTAGTTCAGGATGCTCGACTGGTGCTGCAAAATCAGGGCCCTACGCGAACTGCATGAATCCCTCGGCAAAGGAATGTCTCAAATGGGGTGGGCGAAGATGAAAGAGTTTCAACTCGGCCGTGCAAACTCTCCGCGAACGCAGCTTTCTACCCTGCATCTTCACTTGCACACTCAGGCGCCTCTGCAAACTTCTTCTACTGTCCAAGGGCCGGTGTAGAGGTCGTGCTGCAGCTTCCGGCCCCGCTTGTCTCGGTGACGACTGCTGTCGGCTTCGCGCACCATAACCAAGTTGCCTTTCTCTACCGTTACCGACGCCGTACTCCTCGAAATATTGGCGTTCGACTTGGCCCTTGCTGAGCTACCCGCAGGTCGTGGCGCTTCTCGAGCACCATCCGAACTTCCCGAAGGTTCTGCTTGCGCCGTTCAACGAAGTTGTCCAAACCTCCCGAAGGATCTTGGTTTCCCTCGTCTGAAAGCGGCACCGGCGAGTCCAACGAGGTGCGGGGTTTACGGCCGAACAACAGTTCAAACGGGGTCATGTGCGGGTGAACGGAGATGTCTGGCAGCGTGCGCTTAATCCCAATGGCAGGTGATACATACTCATCCTAACGGTCGTTCCAGCATTTGCACAGCTCTGCCAACAGCTCTTGCATCCAACCTCCTAGCCTCTCAACTGAGCCTTGCCCTTGGGCATGATCTGCTACTCCAAAAGCGATATTCGCCTGTAACCACCGGCACAGGTGAGTCACTAGTTCCCCGCCGAACTCTTTACCGCCATCGCAACGAATGGTTTTGGGGACGCCGAAAGTTAAACACAGTTCCAACAACGCTCTAGCTACTCCCATTGCTTCCTTGGTCGCAAGAGGGAAACCGAAAGGCAATTTGGATGCACGGTCTACCACAAGCAGGATGTACTTGTTACCAGACAATGTGCCGATTTTGAGTAGGTCAATCTCAAGTTCATCCGAAGGTTCCAATGGTCTCCCTGGCAGCATCGGTAAGCGCCTACTAGTGGGCAATTTGCGACGTCTGCTGCTACACGACAAAACGTACTGACAGACATCTCGTGCGCGTTTAGGCCAGTGAAAGTGATGCCGAATTAGTGCTAAGGTCTCTCCAACTCCTGCGTGTCCATGTAATGTGTGGACCAACGCTAGGATATCGGCCACCATGCTTTTGGGGTCGTTACCAGTTTTCCTTTTCAAACTCGAACCGTACCACTCACTTATCATCCAAACTGTATCCTGCTTTACCACTCCCTCATGGATCCTGCCGAACCTGGCCCACAAGGGCATCGTCTTGCTGGCGCCGAATAAGCGTGTCCGGGTTCTTCAGCACTCGTAGCGTCCTGTGAATTGCCGTCGACCCTGTGTCTACCGCTGACCGAAAGGGCAACTCCCCCCCTGCTGAAAGCACCTCCTCCACGTCGGCGGACCTTGTGCACTCGGGCTGCACCGGCTCCGGTGGATGAGCCGGGGGTAGCTCGATGGGCTCAGGTGCGAACGCGCGTTGTAGCCTAGTTGATAACACCTGTGCCACGGTAGGCAGCTGAGGGTCGTTGAGGGGTTGTTGGCGTACTGAGGGCGTACGTCGTCTGCCTGAGCGACGTGGTGGCGTAAGTTCATCGAGCGAGGCACAGGCAGCGAACGGGAAGTCAGCCAATAGCGGTGCTATGACCGCGGGATCAATCTCACTATCGGCATCTACGGGTTCGGATTCGTCCTCGGTCGTGACGTCCGCGAGACGCACACCATCAGGCACAGGGCCTTGCGGGCCAACAAAAGTAGCGGAATCCGGGGACGCGAAATCGTCAGGAAAAGATGGCGTGTTTAGCTGGTTGGACGACATACTCGTCGCAAACGAAACATGGGAAGAACACCTCGCTGCATTGGTGCTCGTTCTAACACGCGTTCGTGCTGTTGGACTGTCCGTGAACTTTCCGAAATGCATTTTCGGGGCTTCGTCCCAAGAGTTTCTCGGAATGATAATTGATGTTACCGGCATGCACCCAGCCCCGTCGAAACTCGAAGCGATTGCCAACATGCCCCGGCCACAAACGGTCGAAGACCTGAGCACGTTTCTAGGCTTGACGGGATATCTCCGACAATTTGTCCCTCAATACAGTATAGTTGCGGCTCCCCTGACCGACATCCTCCGCAATAAGGACTTTGCGTCTAAGCGCGCACGTAAACTCCCAATTCAGTGGGGAGAAGCGGAGGAACATGCCTTCCACCATCAAAGAGAGTGCCTGGCTTCCCCTACCGTCTTAGCTTTTCCTGATCCTAATGCACCTTTTGAGCTGCACTCAGACGCTAGCGCAGTGGGCGCAGGTGCTACCCTGCTGCAGACCATCGACGGTACACCTAGGATCATCGCTTTCGCTAGCCACACGTTCTCTCGCACCGACGCTCGACGAGGACCCACGGAACGGGAATGCATGGGAGTTGTTGTTGTTGTTTCTCACATTAGCTCTAAAAAAGAAAGATTGGGAGCCCGTGGTCTCAAAACCCGGCATACACGACCCCACGAAGAAACAGAAAAAAATAGGGTACAAAAACCACTCGGAAGAGAAACAAAATGATAGAAAGAAAGACCAGCTACCGCACCAAACGAGAAAGAGCGTCGAGGAGACCGATCAAAATAAAATAAAAGGAGAACGGGGAACGCTTCCCACACCCGCCTACAACGCC